ATGATTTCAAAGATAACTCATTACTCAAAAAGAGACTTCAAAGAATAGATATTTAAAAGATCATTTTTAATTTTGCTAAGGTGGTAAGTACGTGCTAACCGCGAATTATATGTCGAGATACCGATCACTATTGTACGGAGGACTTTCTTGCTTATTCGTGGTAATTAGCGCAAGTCGGCGCGTGGACACTTCCTCGACAGCCCGACGATCACGCTCGTTCTCCCGTTCCGTTCGGCGCATTCGCCACGCTTCCGCTTTGCAGCGGAAGTCGTACTAGTTCCCGTTCGTCGTCGGGTGGAACGCGCGGGAGAAGATTATCACGAAGGCGCAATTAGCGTTGGGCGTCAGAGATTTTTAATGAGAAATTACGTTTCACAAGCGCACGCGCGTTCTCTGATTTAATTACCGTGTTAATCATTGATGCCTCAACGGCACGCGCTACAGATTTCATGCGTCTCGAATTTACTCAGCTTGCCGGATAATTTTGTAGATTGAAAATTATTTGACAATTCTACTTAATCCGACAGTTTCTAGTCACATTCGAAAGAGATGCGTTAGTAAACCAAATATTGCATATTGAAATAAATAAAACAGTAAATTAAATGACGAATATAATATAATGTCATAAAACGTTCTTTCAATTCATTAGTGTCGATCCAAAGCGCGTGCTCGCAAAATCGAAATTATTATTGATCCCCCCCAGTCAATTGGTAAAATTTCTGAACCTCTCGCGCGATGTTCCGTCCGTGTCGATAGCCTTTTATCAAATAATTAAACTTTATTATTTTTATCGCGAAAATCATTTTATCTCTGTTGTCTGTGTTACGCTCTTTTGCACTTGAATTCGATTTGTCATAAAATTAACGAGATTGCAACTGACATTTTTAAATTGCTAATCAAATCGTAATTATGGTATCTATTGCTTGCAATTATAATGTGCCACGACAGCACGATAAAGCCCTGCAGAAAGGAAAAACGCAGACGCTGAAAAACGTTGAAACGCGAGATTTTTATTTGCTGTAATCCCAGTAACAATTTTATCGGCTCGGCATTGCTAAATGCTGAAAGCATTTGTATCGAGAAAAAGTTCAAGGAATAATTCAGCGCGTGCATGCACGAGATATATTTGAATTTCAGTTGACCAAACATCGGCTGGATCATTGTGTCCGATGTTCGGTAAGATTTTTTTTTTTTTTTGCCTACTTATTGTTACTTTATCGCTATTATCATAAAGAAGCTGATTAATAATTATTATACTATTTGCTATTTTCACTATTTTCATTATTTTATCATTATTATTATATTTTATTATTATCATTATCATCATTATATTATTTAATACGTTTATTATTTATTAATTGTAATGATGACCTATGTGTAATAAGTTTTGCCAAAGAATCCGTTGAGAGAGCAATATTGCATAAACGTTTTATAGTCTCCGTAGGAGGAAAAGCTGATGAAGAGCACAAAAATAATTGTAATACGGAATTGAATATAGAAGATACGAAGAGAAAAACGACTGTGTGCGGCATTCGAGCGACGAGCGAAATTGCGAATTCGTTTGTTGCGAATTATGTATTTGCTAATCGGAATTTCGACTCGAACGCCGCAGCCGCGCATTTTTAATCGAGCACACACGACTATCTCATTTTATTTTATTTGTTCCGTGTGATATTCTTGTTCCGTGCGCCGCTCTTGCCGAGTCTCGCTGTTGATACTTGCAAACAAAACTCTGTACATCCTTTTTAAATAAATATGAGGTTTATATATGAAATTTATTTCAATATCTAATACCCTATAATTAAATTTTCCATGTGGTATAAATAATATTTTTAAATGTAACATTCGATTAATTGTTGAAGAAATCAAATATAAATAATTTGCAAAAATATTTTCAAAAATAATACAAGGAAAAAAAATATCTTTAAAAACTTAATATTTCTTCTTTTCACAAATCATATAGATACTGAAAAATCTAAAGAAAATTATTTCCGTCCTGCTATATTGCATATGTATTACAAAACATAAAAACTAAAGATACAATTATAAATGGTATTACTACTATCAATTTTATTATATGGAGTTGTAAATATAATAAACATGAAAATACAAATAAACTTGCTGAAATAAATAAAAGTGAATAAAGCTATTAAAGCTATTAAAAGCGGAAACATTAAAGCTGTTTGTTTTCGTAAATATAGTACAATATAAAAATACTTGTTATTCATATCAAAATCGATATTTTGTAAAACAAAGTTACAGCATAAAAGTTTATTGATAATTCATGAAAACGTGCATTTAGCGACATCTGTTCCAAACAATATACACTCTTACGTAGACACTATAGAGAAAAAAAATCAATAATTAATATAATTAAAGAAGAAAACATAGCTTTAATAAATTATGGAAGACACTATAGAGAAAAAAATATTGCATTATATCAGCTATATTTTTATATAAAAATTCTTTGTTTATTAGCGCACTTCTTGTACTGACAATGGATACTGGCAATGGATCTCTAGTCGTGAACGTGCATTTCTCCCTTATCGGCGTTATGAAACTAAGATATCATATACAATAGAGTGTATACTTATAATTAGTGTTGTCTCCGTTCTATAAAGATTAATTATGAAAAGATCAATTAGGCGCGGGTAAGAATTCAATATAGAATGTAATTATTTTCCTTTTTATATAATATCATGATTACGTTTAATAACATATACATTCCTGAAACATCATGTAAAAAATAGATATTTACGTATACATAAACAATCAGAATGAATGTTATTTTATGTTTCAATGTCCAACTGCTCCTTATATTCGAAATTGTACAATTATCTTATTTATCTCTTATATAGATATAATAATAGACACACTTTATTGCTTTTACGTTTACACTTCATTTATTATAAACGTAACTTTCAGCACCGCCCCGTCCAAAACCTGCAATCACAAGCGATCATTTCATTACGCAAATCTGTAATATTAGAAGTGCAGCAAATATTACTTAATTTGAAAATAGTATAAAGAGCAATGCGATACGCACATAAATGGATGGAATAAGGAAGATGTACATTAATTTAATATATTAAATGCAGGACGGCCATGTTCTACGAAGGGTTTTGAATATGAAACAGTTTTAGAGGAAACGAAGCGTATCGCTCGAACCGAGACGAAAATTTCCATTTACCTCCTGGACCGAACAGGGCTGAATAGCAAGGGTGATTGCAGTAGGGTTTCCCTTCGTGCTCGGCATGACCCCCGGGTGTTAAGGTCTTATTGCATTTCTCGCAGCGTAAACACGAACCGTGCCAATCTTTGCCTAAGGATGTCTTCCTCTCGGCTGCAACACAAGATGAATGTTAACGCGCGCGTCTCGGTGTAACATAAAAGGCGGTACACCGCAACGAAACTAGTCACGCTTTCCATATTAAATTTTATGTTTCTACGGTAATGTGGTATTTGTATTAGAACATCGTTTCCTCCCTTCGCCGTAAAGATGATCGCTGCAAGAAAGAGAAATTAATAGACACGCATATTATTCAAAAAGAATGATGAAAAAATATTTTATGTTAATATAATGTTAATGGAATGACATCCGAAATAAAGTAAAATAATTAAAAAATTGAAAGAGGCGAACAATACAATGAAAAAATGTTCTTATTTAATACAATAAAAAAGACTGATTGATCTAACAACATTATATTAACCATCGTTTGTTTTCAACAAAATTTAAAATGAAAGAATAAACTCCATGCGGCTTGAGCACACTGCCTTGTCTGTATCGCGGATGATGAGAATGATAGAAGGAGATGATAGAATCCTTCCATTAGCAATTTCCATAATTAGAAACTCCAATATTGAAGTCCCGATGGGACTCTCGATCGTCGTCTGTTATTCATTAAAGGCGCGAATGCGAAACATACTCCGAACTTGTTTCGCAAAGGATTTCGTGTCGTCGACGGATTAAAAAAAAAACCCTTCATATGTGAGTCACATTATACATGTACCTCACTTAATTCCCAAATGCATCTGCAAGCATTAGTGTGCGTGCGTACGTATGAAAGGGACACAATACAGTTGTCGGAAAAAAGATGGAATGGTACCAATAAGAAAGCAACGAGAGCGTGGATTTAACTTTTTTAAGGGAATTGAGAATTTGGAAGCATTCCTTCAGATATTAAAATTTTATATATATTATATGTTTCATTTTTAAATTAATTCAAACTCATAAATTTGAAATATTTGTAAAGATAATAGTGGTCATACTTGAAATAAGATTTATCATTTAAAAACTGTAGTATTGCCAGTTATTCAGATAAGATTAATCGTACACGAGATCAAACACGTTGATAAAGACAAGTTCTCAGTTTGCTAAGAGTCATTGACTCTGTGGCATAATGCCACGAATGAAATACAATTTTCGGAGCTTTTTTGTATTAGCTTAACATTGACGTTTCAATGACTTCTAATATCTCCTTTCTTATGTGTATAACAATTTGACAGAAAGGCTCGTGAAAGCCGAAAGTGATTTTTCTTTTCTTCCGTTGCGTCACGGCGGCATGTCGCGTCATTACAGCATATCAAACTTGCAGGAGAGAACAAAAATGAGGCAAGAACCATAGCGGGACTGGTGGTTGCATTCAAACGCTTCACCGTGTCTAAGAAGAAGCACAAAGGGCGGTAGCGGCAGCGAGGGAAATTGGAAAATGACGAGACGAGCGCGGTGGGTGCATCGGCGAGGAAAGGATGCGTCGATGAAAGCGAGGTGTAGCGTAGAATGAGGAATAGCAACGTATGGAAGAAGGAGAGAGTGAAAAAAGAAAAATGAAAGAGAGGAAGAGAGAGAGAGAGAGAGAGAGAGAGAGAGAGCGAGCGCGCGCGCGCGCAGTGTATCGTGGGTAAGAAGGGTACGCGCATAAAGGGCCATTAGTTAATTAACTCCTAATTATCTGGCGACGGTGAAGCGAGTGCATAATCGTCAGCGGCATTCGCCGAGTTGCGCATCGCACCGGTAACGTGCGAAAAGGCAGAGACAGTAACGTACGTACGAATCGTTGCGCCCAGGCGCCAAACAATCAGCCTCCGTCGCTGATTGCACAGACCCTCGGAACATCATTCCCCGGCCCTTACCGTCTCCTCGTTTCCTTTTTATCCCTCTCCGTCGACAGGGACCATCCCCTTCACCGCAATCCGCACCCATGCCTGCATCACCCGCGCTCATTTCCTTTCAAACCGGCGTCCACATCATCGTGCCCCCTCCCCCCCCCTCTCCCCCTC